CCTCCTTTTAGCTCGCTCGCTCGCCCGCCCGGCGCCCCCTGCTGGCCCTCGCGGGGAAGGGCGCCCCTCCTCGACCCCGTTTCGCGGCCAGGATCCGAGCGCTCGTGGCTGCTTCAGGGTTGCGCAGCATCTTGGGGGGGGGAGATGTGTGTGTGTGTGTGTGTGTGGAGAGGGCTCCATCCTGCTTCGACCGGAGGCTGAGCACTAATTGTGCGGCCCGTTTTTGTCCTTTCCATTTTTCAGAGTGACTTCTATATATAAATGTACTGTTTACTTATTGATCTTTACCTTAATATTGCCCGTTAAGGATGTCAGACGCCTCCCTATGCCTTGTTCTTAGTTTTAAATGTTGTCTTTTGATGGTATTAACGGATTAGATCGATCAATATATAGCTAGATAGAAAGAATATGGATTAGATCTAGCGATCAATAGATAGAAAGAATATGTATTAGATAGAAAGATAGATAGATAGATAGATAGATAGATAGACAGACAGACAGACAGACAGACAGATAGATAGGCCTATGTAGTATGATTTTTCAGGATGCTCATTATATAAGCCCTACCCCGAAAAATAAGCCCCAGTGAAGTGAAACCCCCGCCCTCCGCCCTTGTGCAGCAACCAGAAGAAGAGGACAGCATTATATTTGAATAAACGTAGATAGCTGTACATGGAAAAAAATAAATAAAACATCCCCTGAAAATAAGCCCTAATGCGTTTTTTGGAACAAAAATTAATATAAGACCCTGTCCTATTTTTGGGGAATCACGGCAGATAGATAGATCTTAAAAACTAATCGATTTATATCCTTTTTTTCCCCTTTGCATAAGAACAAGCCAGGTTACATTGGCATTGTCGCCCTGTGCTGTCAAGTCAAAAACAACTTATAAGTGACCCTAAAATGTGAGATATTTAAGGAATGGTTTTACCAGTTCCCCTCCCCCCAGTGAGCTTCCAAAGCTGAGCGGGGATTCGAACCCTCTTCTCCAGAGTCCTCGTCTGCCATTCTATCTGTGACACCACACTGGGAATCTGGGGAACCTTTATGATTTCAATTTGCCATCCAGGCTTCTTTTTCTTTAGATATTCGGATTTAAATTTGGTTTTGTTTGTTTTTTAATCTCATTATTTATGTCTCCTGAGTTTAGGATAAGGAGCTGGGCTTTGTTTTTAAATGTTGTTAGCCATCCAGAGTATAGCCGAGGCAATAGATGGGCGGGGTATAAATTTAACAAATAAAATTATTTTATCAGGTCCACCCTTTCTCCAGTGAGCTTCCATAGCTGAGCAAGGATTACAAATAAAAATATTTTACCAGGTCCACCCCTTCTCCAGTGAGCTTCCATAGCTGAGCAAAGATTCGAATACAGATCTCCAGAGCCCTAGCCCGTCACTCTAGCCCCACACTGAGCATCTACATTGGCCGAAGTACAGGTCACTCTAGCCACTACCCCACACTGAGCATCTACATTGGCCGAAGATGGTGGGAATCCCACATGCACCCTGATTGGTTAAGTGCACCTTTTATCTCTGCAGCCCTTTGTGCTAGAAGAAAATGGAAAAAAATATGAGAAACCTGCTCCTTGCAAAGGTGAGGTGGGGTCTGGAAGCCCCGGCTGTGCTCGGCCTGTGGAGTATGGAGATGGTCCCTCCACCGAGCCCTGCGGTCGCTATATTTGCTGGGACCTGAGAATCGGATGCAAAATACACCGAAGCAAACGGAACAGCTGAGAAGTGGGGCGAGCGTACAACTCAGGGAACCGAAGGGCTTTCCACTCCAGGCCCGCGCTCCTGGTCAAAAAGACGACCAACCTAAAAGCAGCAAAGGAAAGAGATCTCCGTGTTTATTGCTCGGTTTCAAAACCTCACCATCTGCATGACGGCTGGCGCTGCGATTTTACAGTCTACCATTCAGGATCGCAATTCATGGTTCTTTTCTTTTGGCACCGGGGAATGGCGCTCAGGAGACCCGTCCTGGACAGGGAACGATCCGAGAGGCACCGTGGAACTCGAGAGGCGGCCCCAGGAGGCTGTCCCACCTCGCCCGCGCCCGCACCTTGGCAAGGGATCCCAGCTGCACAGGTGGCCTGACACGGGCTGGGTGCGACCACCTTACACCAGCATGATCCAACAGGTACATCGGCATTCATTTCCCGTCTCCTGTCCCGCGCCAGGCAGGCAGATGTCCTCAGTTTCATTAGCATCCAGAGAAAAAGGATTCTTTGGTGAGACCATTCTTTCTTTCTTCTGGCAGCGAACAAGGCTTCTGAAAGGCTTAAGCTTCCCATTCTTCGTTTAAGGAACAACAGAGGCCTGGTGGATCCAGGGCTCCCGAGGTCAAAGGCTTAGGACTTTCTGATGAGCGGAGGCAGCTATGACGTCCCTTCCCGTCCCCTTGTGTGCTTGGCTGAGAAAGAACGGCTGCAAGCCAGCCAGGAGGAAAAGCAGAGGATTCGAGGCAGGTTGGCCTCTGGATGCACCCTTCAGAGCCATTAACTGTACAAAAGGCCCGCTCCTCATTGGTGGAGACAGATCAATCCAGCTGCCTGCACTTTGGGGTTTCCTTGTGGGGGGGGCTGATTATGGACTGTCTTTCACCAGAGCACTGTTAGGGAAAAGAGGAAGAGGTTCCAGTGTGATATTGACACAGTACATATTCCTGCTTTCGTTGGAGACCTGGCACTCCCATGGCGGCAGGGGAGCACAGTCTTTACCACGGCATGAATCTTAAGATGATGGTTTCTTTGTGTTTGGGGATATAGTCAGCAATGCCTTTAAAAATAAGAGCAAAATACAAGACTTTTAGGAGAGAGAAATCACTTCTTCCCACCTATCTGAAGAACTTAATCCTATTCATAAAAGGTTCAGTTCACCCAGAAATAAAAGTGTCAGCCTTACAGGAATCACAACGCTATTCATTTTGTTGTTAACTCATAGAGGGGTGGCCACGACAGAGTTTTAGTGGTTGGGTGGTGCTTCAGCCAGCATTTCCTTCCCCCCTCCTTTGAGGTACATGCCGTCTGGTTCCTTCTGACTTATGGCAACCCGGTGAAGGAAAAATTCCCAGCATTATTCTCTTCCCCAGGGAGTCTCGCCTTCTCATCATGCCCAGAAATCCACTGGCCATTTACACCAGCCAAAACGGCGTGAACTGCAGCGATGTGTTGCAGCTAGCAAGGGAATCACCCCCTTGTGTTCCTCCCCACCAGGAACACAACAACCTGCACCTCATTAATGAGGGACAAGCTGCAGGCCAATACTGACCTTCATCCAGGATGAAATTTGGAGCCCGGATAATCTTCCAGTACTTGCGCTCTCCTTCCTGAGCTTTTACCCCCATCACGCTAGTGAGCATCGGGCCAGACAGAGTGCTCTGGGTCTCAAACCTGTGCAGGAAAAAAAAGGGGGGGGGAAAGGGAACAGGAGCACAGAAGGACGAGGCAATGAGTCCCGAAAGCCCTTTTGCAGAGGGATGGCGGCCGATGCCTGCCTGTCTCATACAAATCATCAACAGTACGAGGATCAAAATCTAAGGGCTGTTTTTGTGTCCTCGAGGCTGGATGGACTTGGAGTTGAAAGGACGATCCCCAGGAGCAAAGTAAGCTCATCTTAATTCTAGTTTTTCCAAAGGGGATCCTGAAAGTTGCATAATCTGGTGTAGATACCAATCATTGTTGAAGAGAGTAACCACCCCTTCCTGGAGCGAACCTCTCCTGCCCACGATCCCTCAAAGGGGCTGAAGGAAGAGATGTTAAACCGGCAATAAGTCTGTTGTGTCAATGTGTTCTGAGTCTGTAGCGCTCGCTCGCCAGACGTAAAGGCCAGTCCACTGGACACTCTCTTAACCTCCACGTGCTAGGGTGTGTGTGTGCGTCTCTTAACCTCCACGTGCTAGGGTGTGTGTGTGCGTCTCATTTTAGTAACTAACTGTGCTCACCCAGGGGGATATGTGCTGTTGAGGATTTGGCCCTCTTAATAGGCAGAGGAATTTAGAAAGAAGAGAAATCGCACACAACACTCACTGTTTCTCTTCAATTCGCTGTGCTTAGCAGCTAACATGCCCAGATCCTGCCCCTTCGGAGGAAAAATAAGCCACCAAGCAGAGAGAGAAAGAAGATAAAGGAATGCAACAGATAGCCAATGATCATCTTTCTTTTTATATTGATGTCCAGATATTTCTGCCTGAGTTACTGGTGTCCAGAAAGGCACCAATATATTGCGCTGACAGCAAGATTCAGCATTCTATAAGCCGGCCATTCACACTTGTGGAAAAACAGCCCTGATCACTGCTTCGTGTTTGGGTGAGAAGTGGCTGGCTGATGGGGAAAAAAGGAATCTGTTTCTGGGATATTCCCCTAGCGTGGTGTCACTTTGTGAATGGCAGTGAGCACAAGAGGGGATCATGTAGACCATCTAAATGGCTGCCATGGGTGTCGTCAACATTCAGGCTGCCCTTTGCTATGTCAAGCTTGTCATCCTTCTTCCTACTGGCCACACAAGCATGATATCGTGCAGCACTCATCCTTCTTCCTGCTGGCCACACAAGCATGATATCGTGCAGCAATATCGGGCCATTCCCTGGCTCTTTATCCTACATTCATAAACCAGAGGTTTTCTGAAGAATCTGGCTCTTTATCCCACATTCATAAACCAGAGGTTTTCTGAAGAATTGAATATGCAAAGGGTGTGCATTTCCATAGAGCGAAGAGAAGACATCGTCTGCTTGTCAGAGCAGCCGTACTCCAACTGCAGCTTTGCAGTGTGATGGATTTTGAAGTATGCGTAGGGTGTGCGTTTCCATAGAATGAACAGAAGACATTGTCTGCCTGTCAGAGCAGCCGTACTCCAGCTGCAGCTTTGCAGTGTGATGGATTTTGAACTTTCTTTATCCCCGGCCTATTCCTGGTGCCACTTTAGGGTATGGCTGCTCTGTGAGGATGACAGGTGAATACCAGGCCCCCAAATTCAGATCTCGCTTGTGTTACAGATGTAACTGCCCTCTCTGCCTCAGTGGCTCCATCTCTCAAGATTGGTGGGGAGGGAGGGAGAGAGAGAGAGAGAAGAGCGCTTACTTTACAAGGTAGACCGCAACCCTGATCTCCCGGGAGTCTGCGCCAATGGACTCAGTGGGACTAACATCTGAGTAGATATGTATAAGGTTTCATGGTTAAGCTCCCTGAACTCAGCCTTCCTTTGTAGCCCCTTCATACCCAGCCAGGTGGAAGAGGAAGAGGGAAAGGAGGGATCTCACATGAATGGCACATGGCTCTGCCCCTTGGCCGCCTCCAGGACCTCCAGCAGGGACGAGCCCGTGGGGACAGAAAGGATGTGCTTGTACAAAGGCAGCCGGCGTGGAGGGCGCTTCACCACCAACTGCACCCCGATTCTTTTTTCTCCCAGGTTAGTCTTCCTAGAGGCAGAAGTTGGAGCGGCGAGGACCAGACTCTCTGAAAACAAGGAAGGAAAATATAAAAACGGGTAGCCAAATAGTTCCCAGTAGATTTTGTCAGACTTAACCCTGCTGGAGATTCTGCCTTCCCATGAGAGTCTCTTTCTTCTCTTCAAGCCTGATTTCATATTTTCAGACAGTAGATACGCAAAATCGTGGCTACCGATCCCACCGATACAGGGTTCCTACTGGAATGAAGGACCACCCACTTCATTTTGCTGAACGTTCATCACATCCAGCTTCATGTCAGTAGAGCAGGCGTGGACTGGGGATCCCTGCGCCCCCATTTTAATACAAAGCCAGCACTCCTGCGAAAATTTTTTTCCATTCATTCATTTATTCATTTATTTATTTTCTGGCTACCGATCCCACCGATACGGGGTTCCTACTGGAATGAAAGACTACAACTTCATTTTTCTGAACCTTCACACCCACCTGCATGTCAGTAGAGCTGGTGTGGACTGGGGATCCTTGCACCCCATTTTAATACAAAGCCTGGCTGGCTACTGAGCAATAATAAAGGGAAGTCACTATTTTTTTGCAGATTATTTTTAGTGGGAAGGCTGCTACCTGTAAAGCCTGGCAATAATAAAGGGAAGACACTATTTTTTGCAGATTATTTTTAGTGGGAAGGCGTGCAAGGGCCGCAAATCAGCCTTGCAGGGCTGGATGTATTCTGGCTAACTGGTCTGTCTCTAACGTTTTGCTTGGCTAACTGGCCTGTCTCTCTGATACCCACAGAGTCTACTCTGCAGCAGTTCCTGGAAAGATCCTTTCCCAGCCTTGCCTTGGGAGGGATCAAACCCGAAACCTTTTGCAAAGAAAACAGAGGCTCCTCCAAGGAATGAGGGTTCCTCTCCCTGCCTCCTCTGGGTGCCACAGGGTAGGGTCCCCCTAACCCTGGCTGCCTTTAACACTACCAGACCCTCCTCGCACCTTCTGGACCGCCTCTCTCCGCCCGGCACTCCTGGCGGGTGATGTCCAGGTAGCTCTTGCCATAAAGCACGGGCAGCAGCTGCGACTTGATGAGGCTGTTTCGGAAATCTCCCTGCTCCAAGCTCCGAAAGAGGGCCGCCATGGCCACCGGGCATTCCGGTTTCTTCTGACGCATCCTCGCAGCAATGAGAAACTGGATCGGCAAGGGGGGGGGGAGACAGAAGCTTGTATTTAACTCTGCAGACGGGACATCTATGTCTGAATGCTATTCTCTTAAAAAAATCACTATGCATAATCAACTAGCCTTCTCCCTGACCTGCTAGCTTTCTACATGCAGGGAATCATTCTCTTCTCCTTGCGAGAAAGATGGGACATCTATGTCTGAATGCTGTTCTCTAAAAAAAAAAAATCACTATGCATAATCAACTAGCCTTCTCCCTGACCTGCTAGCTTTCTACATGCAGGGAATCATTCTCTTCTCCTTGCGAGAAAGAATTCCAGGTCCTCTCCTTCCTCCCCAGGGTCTCGAGCTGCCCAGCCCGGGGTTACTGTCCCAATGGGCAGGTGGGTAAGTCCATTGACAGTCGGCTGCAGCAAAACTGACGTTCTGCAGCCTCTTCGATTAAGTCTCATTGGGCCGAAGCCTTCACGGATTGGGGCCCTTTTCATCAGTTGCATCTGAAGGAGGATTGCTCTACCAAAGCACCTGACGAATAAAACTTGATTGCCTTCAAGATGCTATAAAACATCTTGTATTTACGTGACCCTCTTCAATGGCAGAGTTAAAGCAGATCTCTTAGTGGTTTTGCAAGGAGAGAAGAACAGAACATTCACCCAGAATGACGAATCCACATTTCGGTCATCATTCTTGAGCAGAACTGGGAGGATTCTGTTTCTTTACCTCTTTGGACTGCAAAGAGGAAACTTAACGGGAAGGTCACCGTTCTCCTCACCTGGACAGCCAAGGGGCTGCTGTAGATGTTCCCAAAAGCTCCTTCTGAGGTTTGAGCCTGCAGGATCTTCTCCTTCACCCTCTGGAGAGAGCGGTCCAGTTTCCCCTTGAGCTCAGGGGTGTAGAAGGGGGCCTCTTGCAGGCAGACAAAGGCCAGGCCAGCCATTGCCTCTGTGTCTAGGGGAAGAAGAAGAGGGAGAAGAAAGGGGAGGGATCCCAGGACAGTGACTGCTGAACCCTGGGAGCGCCCGTCCTCCGGTCTCAAACACACTCCCTGCTCAAAAAAGGAACAGGTCACTCCTTTATTGCAACAGCCGCAGTGTCTGCCTGCCTGTTTCTGGGCCCAATTCAGAGGGCTGGTTATATTACCCATAAAGCCCTTAAATCCAGGATATCTGGAGGATCAGATCACCCCACGTGACCTGTCTTGGCTTTTAAGATCTTCTGGGGAGGTTATTCTGTCAGTTCTATCACCCTCTGGAGTTCATTGGGTGAGGACCTAAGGGGGGGGGGCTTCTCGGTGGCAGATGCCCAGCGTTGGAAGGCCCTGCCTTGAGAAGCCAGGTTGCCCCCCCCCCCCCGTCCTTCTTGCCCTCCTGTCACCAGGCAAAGACCTTCCTCTTCAGGCTGGCTTTTCAGCAATATGTGGCGATCCTAGAAATGCAGCATTTATTAAGAGATTTTAAAATGTTTTTTAAAAATGCTTTAACATTTGCTTTTAAACCTGTTTTTAATATTGAACATGTTATTTTTTTTAAATACACTCATAAAGGTATTTTTTAAACTGTTGATCATTGTGCAGTTTTAATTGTTGTAAGCCACCTTGGGTCTCCTCATGGGGAGAAAGGCAGCACAGGCAGGGAGGGAGGGAAGAAAGTGGAAGTTTTACTTCAACTGGAAGAGTTCATCCTTTGCTTTCACCCTGATCAAAAGAATGGCAGACCAGACTCTCCAACAGTTATAGACTCAAAGCTGCTTCTCCCTTCCCCTGGCAGCGACACTGCAGTTAACGAAGTAAGGAACAGCAAGTGCAAACACAGGGTGATAAGAGATCATGCTGGAAAGGGTTGCTTGGCTGGGAGCAGGTCTCCCATAAAGGGACCTTTCACGCATACAGGAACCCCTCCAGCTCAGCTCTGAAACAGAGCAGCCCTCCTGCCGGGCCAAAAAGGTCCAGAGGGGGCGTGGAACGGGGTCAGGCTGGCTCCCGGCTCCCTTGTAGGTGGTCTGATTGCTAGAGAACAGCTTGCCCCAGGCCTTCCCCAAATGCAAGCTGTATCTCCATCTGATGTCACCCTCAGCGCTGTATCTTTTGATAACCCCTCAAAAAACCCATTGCCTGGGGGACCCTCTCCCTCTGCCTAGGGGCAAGCCAAGCTCAGAGACAGACGGAAGCGGTCAAGAAGAACAGCCGGCCTCCTTACCCACAGAGACATCGCCGTTGTGCTGAAACCTGCCATGCTCCTCGGCGTGCGAGAGTTTGTGTATCACGTGCTCATCAATCTTCTTCTTGTGGACGCACAAGGCCAAGATTCCCAGGCTGTACTGGTAGTAGTTGGTGATGGGGTCGCCGTCGCCTCTGTGGCCTAAGTTCAGAGGAAGAGAGCCCGAGAAGTGAGTTCTGGCAGGCATGGTCCTTCGTGACCCCATCTCCTTCCAGTTCCAACCTCAGGCCCTTTGCTTCCTTTCTGTCCTGCAAGGCTGGCTCCACAGGGAAGCAGAGGAGGGACCCTCTCGCTCGGAGGGCATCCTTCTCTGTCTGCGCGAGAGACTTTCTGGCACTGGGCGTAGTGCTCCAGGCAAAGAGAGACAGGGGTGCAAATTCTGGCTCAGTTCTGAAGCTCAGAGGCTAACCCTGAACAATCTCCCTCTGGCCCTCTCTGCTCATGCTACCTTGCAGGGTTGTCCTGGAAAGGAAGAGGGAATGTAAAATGCAAGAAAATAAGAATATAGTAGGACCCCTGTATCTGCTGGGGATCAGTTCGAAACCCCTCCCCCCAGATGCTAAAAAATGTAGATTATAGCAAATACTACAGTGGGGTCTTGACTTGAGAACTTAATCCGTATTGCAGTAGGACCCCTGCATCTGCTGGGGATCAGTTCCAAACCCCTACCCCCCGGATGCTAAAAAATGTAGATTATAGCAAACACTATTTTAACAGCAGCCTCTATACATACAGTAGCCTTATCTCTGGCTCCCCCGAGTGGCCAGTTCTGGTAACTTCACTTTTACAAATATATATTTCTAGGATTTTTCTTTTAATATTTTCAGACCATGAATCAGTGGATACTGATCCTGGCAGCCTCTATACATAGCTTTATCTCTGGCTCCCCCGAGTGGCCAGTTCTGGTAACTTCACTTTTACAAATATATATTTCTAGGATTTTTCTTTTAATATTTTCAGACCATGAATCAGTGGATACTGATCCTGCAGATAAGAAGGGGCCTACTATAAATGAATGCTATGATCTAGCTTAGAAAGACAGAGTCTTGGTAAGGTAACCTATGGTCTAGTAATATCTGGGCTGGATCATTCCTGGGGTGGGTGGGTTTTAAAGCTCTGAAGCCACATCCCATGATTTGGGCCAACATGGTTAGGGACTAAAGTACCTAAAGGCAATTTATCCCTGTAAAGATTCACCTCTCTCTTAACATCTGGACCAAGAGGTCCTGCTCAAAGGCACCCCCACCTTTAAAGGGGACCTAATTGCCATTTAAAAACACAGACTTCTCTGCAGTAGCACCTTAATCATAAGACGTTCTTCCTACAAACACCTACCGTGTTTCCCTGAAAATAAGACGGGGGTTTATATTAATTTTTGCTCCCCAAAACACATTAGGGCTTATTTTCAGGGGGTGTTTTATTTTTTTTCATGTACAACCCTCTACATTTATTCAAATGCAGTCCTATCATCTTCTTCTGGTTGCTGCACAAGGGTGGGGGTTTCACTTCACTGGGGCTTAGTTTTGGGGTAGGGCTTATAAGACGAGCAGCCTGAAAAATCTTACTAGGGCTTATTTTCAGCTTAGGTCTTATTTTGGGGGGAACGGTATTTTGAGCCAACTTGGTTTTCTTTCCAGCACAAGAGATTTTTTTATGCCCTTGGGCTCTCAGCAGTTTGTTTTATTCTCTTGATTCCCTGTTCTGTTGCTGCCTTTTTTTTTTCTTTTTTCTTTTGCTGTTTTTACCTGCCGTCCACCCAGGTCCATGCCTTAACCCCTGGTTCCCGGTTGCTCACTCCTAGATGACTTCCCTGAGCAAGAAGGTGGTTCCTAGCTGGTCCGTCTGCTGAAACCGCTGCCAGGGAACCTCCCCACGGCTGGCTCTGCGCGCCTCCCTGCTTACCTATCCGCTCTTTCTCCTTGTGCAAATGCAGCTTCAGCTGGGTGATCAGCCAGTTCCCCTCCGGCGTCTCCATGCTGTGGCAGGCGGCTCGCAGGGCCAGGAGGTAGAGGGCCAGCAGACCGGTGCCCGGCTGCTCTTGGTAGTGGACGGCAGCAGACGTTCTGGGAGACGGCAAAGCAAACAAAATACACAGTTAATCTCTTTGGGGCACAGCCTGAGCCCAACGACACTCTGAGTCTGCTTTTCTCATTCGATTCCTTCACATTTTGTTCAAAATCATTCTGGATGGCCTTGTTACCCCATTTTCACTAAACACGTCAGCATAACTTTGCTTTTCCGATGCCTCTCCTATTGCTATTCAGACTGGAAATAGGCTGGAGCAGAGACTGGCCTGATTTTGGGTAACATGATTTGCTAGAATATCATCTCTGCTGATAGAGCAACACAAGCCGTATGCCACGATCTAAAGTCAGAGTTCAGGACGACTCGTATCTCTTTCCTTTTCCATGTCTCCCGCGCCCTCAACCCCACAAATATTCCAAAGCCGATCGGGTCGTGCTTATTATCACCTAATGCCAAAACCACAAAGCAACAAGCTGATTTACCAATTGAGGCAAGACGCCCTTGTTAGAATAAACCCTCTACAGAGAAAGTGACAGACCTTATACCGTCTAGCTTTCATCTTTAGTTTCCAGCCTCTACCGTATAGACATGAGCTTGTTTCCTGTCCTTCGAACACCAGAAGATATCTACACGGAGCACTTTTCTCTCTCCAGATCACAAAACCTCAAACAAATTCTACTGCTGACAATATTTGAAATGTGTAGGCCCAACATGCTTTCAAGGGAGATAAAGCCAAGGCTCTTCCTCTTGTTTTTCTGCGAGCAGGCAAATGCTGTCTTAGTCAGCTTGGCTTTTGGCAGCTCTTTGGCTACCGGATTTTTTTTAATGATGTATTTTTAAAATTACTTTTAATCCTGCCCTTTTAAAAACAATCTTAGAACGGCAGAGCTGGAAGGGGACCCTCGGGATCATCCAGTCCAGCCCTTATCAAGGAAGGCCCAGTGGGGGATTCAAACTCCCAACCCCTGGCCCTGCAGCCAGAGACCTAACCCTTTGACGGCAGAGCTGGAAGGGGACCCTTGGGATCATCCAGTCGAGCCCCTCTCAAGGAAGCCCAGTGCGGGGAATCAGGCTCCCAACCTCTGCCTCCACAGCCAGGGAGACCTCAGCCATGGTGCTCTCCAGCAGTTAAATAATCTTAGGCCGGCAGAGCTGGAAAGGACCCTAAGGATCATTTGGCCCAGCCCCTCTCCAACCAATAAATAACACCTTGGTGAATATGAATCTACTCAGGAGGAGGCCCCTTTGCAAAGGACATCAGCTAGGCTAGTGGGTACTGGGATGCGGCCAGAGAGTCAAAGGAGAAAACCCACAAAAAGCTTGTCACAAATCTAAGTTTCTTCTCTTTCAAAAACCTCTTTTCAATTCCATCTCTTACCAAAGGGGGGGGGGAGGGAATAGATTTCCTTAACCGCCTAGAGTGGTTGTATAGACCAGATGGGAGGGATACAAATCAAATCAAATCAAATATTGAGCGCCCGTCGCTTGTCCCAGCTCCCGCCAACCTAGCGGTTCAAAAGCATGCAAATGCGAGTAGATAAATAGGGACCACCTCGGTGGGAAGGTAACAGTGTTCCGTGTTTAAGTCGCACTGGCCATGTGACCACGGAAAGATTGTCTTCGGACAAAACGCTGGCTCTATGGCTTGAAGAGCGGGATGAGCGCCGCCCCCTAGAGTCGGACACGACTGGACAAAAATTGTCAAGGGGAACCTTTTATCACCTCCTTCCCCTTTGCTGGACTCCTCTAGAGTTGCCCGACCAGCGTGCTGGTCCACCTGAACACACCTGCTGATGTTGGGCTGAAAGGCCTCCTTGAGCCGCTGTAGGTACTGCTTCTCCTTCTCCAGGCTGTGCTCGTCGGAAAGACGGAGGCCCAGGTAGAGGCTTGGGCTGGGCTCTTGGGAAACATCTCCAGCTAACTGCAAGAGCTCCGTGTTCAAAGAGTTGATGGGCTTCACTTTCCCGTTGGGGATTTCTTTGCAGGAGACAGAAGGAGTGCAAGTCAGGTTCAGCAAATCCACCGCCTGTAGGCTCGTCTTTAGAGTGCCCCGTGGCCCAGGGGTTAAACTGTAGTTCTGCAGCCAAATCCCCAGTTTAAGGTTGACTCCATCCTTCTGAGATTAATAAACTGAGTACCCAGCTCATTGGAGGAGAGCAATACTGTATGTAGAATTAAACTGCAAACCGCCCCATGAGTGCTTTTAGCGTTAGGGGGCAGCCTATAAGTAGCATACTTTGCTTTGCTTTTTTTAAATTGTGAATTGTACTTTGGTCAGGTTACACCACAGTGAGAGAAAAGAGTAGCTGAGGAGCAAGATAGAGCAATTTATGTGGCCTCCCCTGGTAATCCCCGCCTTCCCTGACCTCTATAGACAAATATAAGACAAGAAATCAATTTTTTTTTTCTTCCTAGAAGCATCCAGAAATAACAGCCTTTTTTGTATGAGGATGGGTCATTTGTGTGCTTCAAACTAAAAAAAAAAAATCAAAACTAGAAGTGGATTAAGGACACCTTCTGTTTCAATTTTCCAAAGAGACCTTTCCCAAATAATATTTTGTCCTGCATTTTGATTGTTTGCATCGGTCTGTGCATGAGCACACCCCGTTCTGTGCCATTTTGATGGCTCAGGACTAAAACTGGGTTGCCCGCCCCACCAAAAGTGCCCACCCCAGAATAAAAGGGAAAAATGGCTGCACAATACACGACAGCCCACCTATTATTATAGGCTAAAATTGGAGGCTTTGTTAACATTCTAGAGACATTATTCCAGTAGACCTTCACGACAGACCAATCATACCTGTGAAGGAAGACTCTGAGGACATTTCAACGATCAGTCACAAAACAAAGCCCCCCCCCCTTTGCAAACTACAGAAAGGAAGTGAAAACTCCTGGTGGGCAACCAGATGTTTCTCACATTTAAGGAATTCCTTCTTCCAATTACAGGTTAGCTATGATGTCCAATCTGTCCCAAAGTTGTTGCACACACACCCCAGAAAAATAGGTGCAACCCCAGTTTTTAAAATCCACTGCAAGAGTGAGCTGCTATTTTTGAATGGTCCCTTGCATGAAAAAATCTTTCCTGCAAATGGAAACCTAGCACTGCAAGAAGCGGGCTGGAACAGATGATGCTGGGGACAGAGTTAGACTTGGCAGACATCAGACCCCATCCTGGTGGTATAAATAACCTTGTACAAAACACTGGCATTTCTCTAAAGGGCCGGAACAGGCTCATTTAGGAACCCTTGAGTTTTGTCAGGGGATAAATGTTTACACAAACGTCCTTCTTTTATCTGCTGAGTTAGTAACGGTTTATTCTTTTATGGCTCGCTTTAATTGTTGTTAGCCATTCTTAGCGGTCCATAAACACCAGATGGCAGGATATATATGGATCAATAGATGAGAACTCCCAGCCTTCTGAAGTCAAATCCCACAATAAATCTGTGATGGCTCTCTTTTAGCTCATTGTTTAATTACTGAAATTCACGTGTTAGTTTTCATTTCTTGCTTAACAGCCTCAATTTTGGAATTCACATTTTCCAAAGAACATTGCACACGAGATCCCCATTTCCATGTAGATACAAATATAAATCCAGATTTCTGTTTGGGCAGGGTATCAGCTTATACCTTGAATGAATTATTCTAACAGGATTCGATCCAGAAAGGCATGTCCATTCCCTATGAAAAGCTGCAATTTCAATATTTCTTCCCTAAACTTTACTAGCGCAGACACAAAATGTACACGTATACTATATAAGTGACAGTCTTTTTTTAGAACTGCAAAGGCCACCTGGGGGACCTTGGACTACAGCTCCCATGATCCTTCCCTGAGGCTTATTATTGCCAGCTTGGGCGGATGGGGCTTGCCTCTTCAAAACATGTTCCCCAACCTTGATTTAAGGCAGGGGTGGGGAAACTCTCTCGCTCCAGGGTTCTACCGTACTGTTTAACACCCAAACATTTTACCAATTTTTCAAACTGCAAGTATCTGATGTCCAGGGGCGTTTTTATCAGAACCCGTTGGCCCAAGAAGATTGAAGCCCAGATCGACTCCTGACCTTCCAGCGTTTCCAGAGCCAGGCAGGCATCGACACCCTGGCGTCCATCACCTAATTTTTCTCCTCTTCGGTATGCTTTGATGTCATTTGATGACACACAAGCCACCAGAGTCCTCTGCTCGCAGGATGCATTTGGGAATGTCCGAACTGCACTGCTCAGACTAAAGGCAAAGGTCCGTCCAGGTGGGAAGTATAATCCCAGCCACTGTTTGCCAAAAGGCTCCTGGAAATCCATACCCAAAGGCTATGGAAGTGACCACACCATGTTCTTTCTGCCCTGACGAGGCGGACTTCAAATCTTTAGGTTAGCTCCTGCTGCAGGCAGCCGTTGGTAGCTCTGCTTCTACCCAAATATATCTTGCTCTCTCTCGTCGTCATCATAGTCATCCTTCAGTCTCGAGAGACTATGGTATCGTGCTCTGCATGGAGGCCTTGGAACAGCGTCTAGTGTGGCTGAGGAGGCCAATTCGAGAGTGACAGTCCCTTTCACCCTGAAGATAAATCCAATCTGTCCCCTGTCCAGCTCCCTGGTTTTGCTGCTTCCGGGACAGCCTCTTTGCCTCAGCCTGCTGGGCGAGGGTCTCTTCAAATTGGGAGAGGCCATGATGCACCACCTGCCTCCAGGCTGAAAGCTCACCTCTTACAAGACCGCAAACTACCATGTTCCCATACAACAGCCATTAAAAGCAGATAACAACAGTAATAACAAAAAGCCAAATCAATGCATGCCAATGGTCTGGACGAACCATATATTACCAGTCTTGACGTTCCCCTTGTTTCCGTGAGTTCTGCAGGCTGATAAAGCTTTTACAGTCTGATTTTTTTAAAAAAAATCTAAAACGGAGATATTATAATAGGAAGTCCATGGTACTCACCACACGACTGAACTGAGGAGAACAGAATATAGAGGAGGGGGACGAAGCGGGCCCACCTGGGCTCCATGTCGGCAGCTGGAAGAATGGGAGCAGAGGGAAAAAAAGTCGATTAGGAAAGCCAGGAGGAGATTCCTGAGGTTGGTTCCAAGGGATCTGGTCTCTGCCCAGCTCAGAGGGCAGTCCGTACGCAATCACGGATCAAACTGGAGAAACGATGACACTCTGCCAAGAAGCAAGAGCCGAGTCTGCAAAACTGGAAGGACTTTGGTTGAACAGAGAGAGAGAGAGAGAGAGAGCTGCAGGCATGGCACGTGAAGTCAATTCTGACCAAGCGAACTTTTTCAGGGGTTTCTGGGTAGAGAATATTCAGAAGTGCTTTACCATTTCTTTCCTCTAGGGGGAGCCTTGGGACCGCGCAGCTGGCCCAAGGCCACCCAGGCTGGCTCTATTCACAGGAAGCCCAGCTGGGGAATCAAACTCCCAACCTCAGACTTTGCAGCCGGAGACCTAATTTATGGAGCTATCAGAACCCTCCAGAAGAAACTAATTCCCTCCATATCATTGCAAACCCTTGTAGGAAGGGGAGCTGGCAGATCAAAACACAGAAAGAGGAAGCAAGTGTCTTTGGCAAAACCCATAGCTAAGGAATGGAACGAACAACAACAACAAAAAAAGACAAATTCCCTGTGTTCATTGCAGCTGGGTGACTACCTTTATCTCTCTCATTATGTCTGAAGTGGACGTGTCCACAAAAGTTCACAGTCAAAGAGAACAGATGCCGCCGTGTGTATGTCTTTTTTATTTGTTATTTTATTTTGAATTGAATTTTCAAATTTTGCTTTTACCTATGACGCTTGCACAGACTAACACCGCTTCCTCTTCTACAACTACATTTATACAAAAAAATAACTTTTAGAAACAAGAGATTTTTGTAATTTTTTAAAAAAATTCTTTTGCAATTTCCCTGCTCCATGGTCTCCCAGCCTGTTAAAGACCCAAGCAGGGTTAAAAAGAACCCTACGTTTGTGACTTTTCAAATAGTGATTCTAGTAAAGCTGTCATCCGCGCTTGCCTTCAGATTGAGTAACGGGAGTTGGCATGAGGGACGTGCCCAAGCCAGAGGGAGACATAATTTCCTGGCCAGATCTGATTTTTTTCCCCTGTTCGCCTTCCTAGTTACCCTAATGATGACCTTCCAGCCAACCTGATTCCAGGCTGCTTCCTGGCCCTGCTCTCCCTATTCCCTAACTTGCCTGTTGACTCAGCAAGGTCTGGGATTTACAGACCGACCTTGGCTGACCCTCTGACAATTCTTCCACTGGCAGTTTGGACTCTAAGCCCCCGAGTCCCATTCTGGCTTGGACCCAGAGTGCCCCTTTGTACCCTCCCAGAGATTGCTCCTGCCCCTGAGCTATCTCTGGGCTTGCACGGACTGGTGTTGTGACTTGAAAGCAGGACAAATCCCTTGCACCACCTCATTCATTCATTCATTTATTGAAATGGCAACAAGTCTCTGTACCTCCTTTAGCAGCTGAACCGCAAAACCATGTCGGATAAGTCAGGGCATATCACATATAATAATCGTCAGCAACTACCAAGACATCTCCAGTATTTTTGCTGCCTGTGATTACTGCTCGGGAATCCATGCAAATCAACTTCTGCTATTAGTGATAAGACGCAGCCTTGCAAGGCACTCTGTAGGAACAAAGTGCAAGGTAGTCTTCCCTACCTTTCCTTTATCCTGGGTCAACAGGACCTTCTCCTTAAAAGTTTTTCTTAAGAGAATAAATCAGACGACAGCCAGTGGGTTCAAACCTGAGCCACAATCCTTTCTAGTACTAGTCCTCTACCCACTTCATTCTCCCAGCTAAGAATGACTGAATGTACCCCAAAAAGATGGGAAACACCCTCTTTTTTTGCCGTCAGATGCCACAGCCATGAGGAGCAGACCTGGTGGGTTATACGACATTTCCCCAAAAACTGCAACTATCCAGAAAATTCCGAGAACCGCCTTTCACAAACGCAACATCTTTGGGCTTTGAAGGGGGGCATCGTTTGAAAAGGACCGAAGGTGGCTTTAGAACAATGAAAGGCCATACCTAAAGTTAAAAACAGTAAGAATACAATGACAGTTAACATCATTAAAAGATGATATTTAAAAACTATAAACAAGGAATAAGGAGGCCTCTGACATCCTGAACAGGCAATGTTAAGGTAAAGATCAACAAGGATCCCAAAATATAAAAATGGGGACTCTGAGAAACGGAAAACACAAAATGGAAAATGCAAGGAGAACTAAACATGCCAGTGCCCGAACTTGCAAGGAACATCTGACGTTAGGGGGCATCTCTGAATGCAGCCTAATTTTGCTCTTGTTTCTTAGGGTCCGGGGCAGCTGCCTCCTGTAAGCTCAGATTCAACGCACAGCAGGGCTGGTGGTCCCAAATGGGACAAGACCCCACACGCACGCCAGGGAGAAGCCAGCCAACTCCCAATTTAAAAGACCACAAAGGAGAAAACACCTTCCTGACCCTTTCTCTGACAGGTCAACCGACCCACCTTTTCCGTCCTCGCTCAGCCCTGCTCTTCGTCCTTCTGCGGCCTCAGGTCAGGATGTTTTAGGGGGCAGGGTTCCTGAGACAAGATCCCACCAAACACAGCACAACTCACACCCGCGTGGAGACACACATCAAAAACATCAAGTCTGAGAGAGAGAGATAAAAGGAATGGCTTCAATACAGACCTCTCTTGGGCGTTGCTTCGGTTCCACGCCTTTGCCCCACACGAGCCAGCAAGGAAGTCAAGGTCCAAAACCAACTTTCTTTCCCTTCCTTCACAGAAACTAGAGCAGGAAAGGAGGGAGGGGTCTCCTTGTGCTCTTGTTTACTTGTTGCCACGTGACATCCCTTCCAGCAGCTGATGTCAGCTGTTTGGAGGGTGTTTTTAAGGGGAGAGGCTAGCCAGGAGTCTGCGGAAAGGAAAAGGAAAACAGGGTTATCGGGAGTGCTAAAGGAAATCTCCAGATACTAGGCTATTTCCAGAGGCTGTGGCTGTGTTAGCCGAGGACAGCGGCAGCTAACGTTTTTGGGCTTGCGTAAAAAAACTAAATCCCAGGACATTAAAAACAGGAAACAGACTTGGCACCTTAAAGACTTAACCACATGGTTTCTTGGAAATAAATAGATAAATGCAAGGGATCTTCCTTTGGTTGTATACTGACTACCCTGAGTTCTACCCTGAAACGCATCTCCAACCAATGTGTTTTTACAGAGAACGGAAAATACTAGGTTTGGCAGGATGGGATGGCGCGATTAGCCCTAAATGGCAGAGCGTGTAGACAGTGGCACAAACGCATGAGTAAACCAGCAAGTTTTGCACAAACCCATGAGTAAACGGGCAAGTTTTGCCAAAAAGGAAAACCACCTTGTCAACGAGCGTCGCCATCATGTCTTGCATGAAGGAGCCTCTTAAGCTGACGAACGGTGTGACGAGTGAATTCTTCTGTGAATTCTTCCAACGAATGCATACCTGTCTCCTCCCCTCCTTCTGATCCTCACAGCAACCCTGTGGGGTAGTACTCAAGCGGGACGTGAGTACCCAGCCCAAGGGTCATGGCTCAGTGGAGACCCTGATCTCCTTCTGACCCCTGCACGTCACGGGTATGCTGCTGCACTTTCATCAGACGGGCTGGCCGTCACAGACCTCATTTTGAGTTAAGCTAAGCCTCATTTCGGCAACACCATTTACAGTAGGTGTGGCAATGATCATGTAGGGTCTCCCAAGCCTCATTTCGGCAACACCATTTAGGTGTGGCAATGATCATGTAGGGTCTCCTGAGACCTTTTGAAAAATGCTATTAAATGCCAGTTAACATGGACAGAATTGCACCAGACATTGTTCTCTATGGCTTCTGATTATGGAGTGTTTGATATCAACTGTGGGATAGCAAAGGTTGGGGGTTCGATTCCCCACAACACCACCTCGACAGGGACTTGACTGTCCAGCTCTGCAGTTCTAAAATTATTAGTATTGGGCTCTAGAAAAGCCTTAAATTGAAGTGCTGCTCAGTATCCATTTTATTTGTCATTGTGCACTGTCATAGATCACAGCACTTTGGTTTTCCCTCCCTTTCTAGTTGTTCTATTAAATTGTTTGCTTTTAACATTTTTTGATATCACCTGGCAGGACAAAGTTCCAAACGGAGTAGTCCTAGAACGAGATGGAATTTCCAGCATGTATACGTTACTGAAACAGTGGCGTCTACGTTGGCTTGGGCATGTCATGAGAATGGCCGATGGTGGGATTCCAAAGGATCTCCTGTATGGAGAATTAGTGCAGGGAAATCGCGCCAGAGGGAGACCACAGCTGCAATATAAGGACATCTGCAAGCGGGGTCTGAAGGCCTTGGGAATGGACCTCAACAGATGGGAAATGCTGACCTCTGAGTGTTCAGCCTGGAGGCAGGGGGTACAGCATGCCCTCTCCCAATTTGAAGAGGCACTTGTTCAGCAGGCCGAGACCAAGAGGCAGTCCCAAAATGAGCAAAACCAGGGAGCTGGACAGGGGACAGATTGTATTTGTCTTCAGTGTGGAAGGGACTGTCGCTCTCGAATTGGCCTTCTCAGCCACACCAGACGCTGTTCAGAGCACGTTACCATAGTGTTTCGAGACTGAAGGACGCCTAACAACATTAGAAGCAAGCCATCTTGGGTCTCTTTGAGGAGAAAGGCTGGGCGTAAATATTTTCAATAATAATAATATGCCACTGTTTCAGCAATGAAAAATTAAGTAGCAGAACAAGCACTTTTCAATATATTTCCTAGAGGGATGCAATCTTTTCTTTACTAAAACTTCAGAGAAATAGAGTATCCACTAAAACACCAGTCAAAACACAATACAAATTCAAGGATAGGGAGTATCTTTATAGACCACTAAAAAAAATTATCATACATGAGCAAAGCATATCACCTATTCTCGTATTTGTATTTTATTCTGAATTGACCACATGGCTCCTCTTTTAGTTAAAAGAAAGTTGTAGTTTTAGAACAGGTAGCCGTGTTTCTGCAAGCATATCGGACAAAGTCTGATATTTACTGTATAACAATTAGAATTTAAGGGGCTCCAAAAACATGTGGCACCTTAAAAAACAATTATATTTTAATTAACATAATTTCAATTGAATTAGAATATAATAAATAGTCTTTAAGGTGCGCCAAAAACATGTGGCACCTTCAAAACTATTATCTCTTATTTTATTTAACTTTAATTAGAATAAAATAATTAGCCTTTAGGGCGTTGCAAAAGCATGTAGCACCTGAACAAGGATTACATT